ATAATATAAATAGTATTTTTCAATTCACCTCATACAAGTACTGTAGTGCAATTGTGAAAGTGTAACTTACAAATGCTTTTTTTTTTTTGGTTACATAACTGCACTCTGAAACAAAACAGTGTAAAACTTTAGAGCCTACCAGTCCACTCAGTCCTACTTCTTATTCTGCCAATTGCTAAGACAAACAAGGTTTTTTACATTGATGGGAGATACTGCTGCCTGTTTATTTACAATATCACCTGAAAGTGAGAACAAGCATTCGCATGGCACTTTTGTAGCCAGTGTTGCAAAATACTTACATGCCAGATATGCTAAACATTTGTATGTCCCTTCATGCTTTGGCCACCATTCCAGAGGACATGCTTCCATGCTGATGATACTCGTTAAAAAAAGAGAGTTAGTTAAATTTGTGACTCTACTCCTTGGGGGGGAAAATTGTACATCTCCTGCTCTGTTTTACCCGCATTCTGCACATATTTCATGTTCTAGCAGTCTCGGATGATGACCCAGCACATGTTCGTTTTAAGAACGCTTTCACAACAGATTTGACCAAATGCAAAGAAGGTACCTATGTGAGATTTCTAAAAATAGCTACAGCACTCAACCCAAAGTTTAAGAATCTGAAGTGTCTTCCAAAATCTGAGAGGGATGAGGTATGGAGCATGCTTTCAGATGTCTTAAAAGAGCAACACTGATGCAGAAACTACAGAACCCAACCACCAAAAAAGAAAATCAGCCTTCTGCTGGTGGCATCTGACTCAGATGATGAAAATGAACATGCATCGGTCTGTACTGTTCTGGATCATTATTGAGCAGAACCCATCATCAGCATGGATGCATGTCCTCTGGAAGGGTGGTTGAAGCATGAAGGGACATATGAATCTTTAGTGCATCTGGCACATAAATGTCTTGCAACAGTGCCATGCGAACGCCTGTTCTCACTTTCAGGTGACATTGTAAACAAGAAGCAGGCAGCATTATCTTCTGCAAATTGTAACCCACTTTGTTTGTTCGAGTGATTGGTGACCAAGAAGTAGGACTGAGTGGACTTGTAGGCTCTAAATCGCTTGACAGCCCTAGAAATAATACTGATTTCCTCCTCCCTGCTGGTCCACACTTTCTAGACAAATCTGCAGTATGCTTCCCATTCTGACTCCCAACAAAATATAGGATCAGATGAGAAATTCTTTTCAGATTGGAACAGCTGCTGCATTTGCACAAGTTTTCCTCATTTAAATGATTATTTGTGCTCAACAGCCCATTGTTTTGAAAGGAATTGGGCAGGATAAGACAACACAGAATGAGATTTTTAACCTATTTTTAAAAGCTTATTACCAAGTTTTAAAGTATATGTACAAAACCATGTATTTTTTAACACAAGAAGGTTTAAAATGATTCCTCCTTTATTTACCTGCAAAGATCTGTTCTCAGATGCTTGCTTTCTCCTACAGTGGGTTTTTATGTTACTGATGCGTAACGCAATGCAGAGTGTTCCTGCCGTTCACTGACTTACTTGAAAAGTGGAACCTTGAACCTAGTTCTTGGCAGCTACTGTAGAAAGCATTTCAGCTTACCCATAAGTAATTCAGGGATTGAGCCAAAGTCCATTGACTTCAACTGACTGTGCATCAGGTCCTTAAAGGATGGGCTCGAGTGGAATTAATGGAAAATGAACACTTTTTCCATGGGATTTTTTTTTCCCTATAAAATTGGACATTTAACTATTTAAAATTTATATTACCAGACTAAGGGACGTTATCAGAAAGCTGGGGGCCTCTGTATAAAAAGTGCTAGGCCAAATTTTGGCCAGTGCAGGTAACAAGAAAAATGTTTTCTAGTTTAACATTTGATCTGCTTCTGCATTTTTAAGTCGTCCTCCAATAAAATGATGAAAAAAGTCCAGCTGGTACCAAAATGGGAGGAAGGAAGAGTCTGGAAGCAGCATCTAGTAGCTAGAGTCTATATTCAAATGTTGTTTTTGCCTTGCCTGTTTTTCCCATCTAGCTACCACTGCCTGTGATCCAGTGGTGGAAGAGCACTTCCGCAGAAGCCTTGGCAAGAATTACAAGGAGCCGGAGCCAGTGGCAAACTCTGTGTCCATCACAGGATCAGTTGATGACCACTTTGCCAAAGCACTTGGGGATACATGGCTTCAGATTAAAGCCGCAAAGGATGGAGTGTCCAGCAGTCCTGAGTCTGCCTCAAGGCGGGGCCAATCTTCCCCTTCTTCCCACATGGTCAATCATAATCATTCGCCCTCTGTGGTCTCATGAAGAGAGCAGATCATCAAACTTCTGAATTTGCATGGTTTGACTGAGCTTTGAATTGTGTTGGGGTGAGGGGAGATTAGTTTTCAACACGTTTTTGTGTACTTGTTTGGTATTTGTACAAGGGTGCCCTTAAAGATGATAGCAGGAACTATTTGATAAAGATCTATATGACGTAGCATCCTTTTTTTCCTGCCTCAGTTACCAAAGAAACCTCTGATGCAAGCATCTGCTACCCATTTAAAAAAAAAAAAAGCATGCTAATCCACAAAAAAGCCATTACACACAGTTGGTTGACCCAAATGCTTTTGCTTCTATTAGCTTCTTGACACTACAATTTGCCTGGTTTGCTTCCATTCTCCCCCCCCCCGGTGAAGTAATTTTGTATGTATATACTTGAAAAGAACTGTCATGTATGATTTGCACTATTGGAGGAGGACTAAAGTTGCATGGCAACTTTATGCATGATGCTGATATCCTGAAGGCAAACTGCTGAAAAAAAGGGTTTAAGTGACATTTCTGTCAGTTATTTTTTGTTTTAAACCGCTTTGGAAGGGGAAGTCTCGTACAGGTTATAGGTCTTTCTTTAGATTTCAGGTGCTTAGTGCTTGCAACTGGACTGCATAATTTACAGACCACACGGGCATTTAATTTTTTTCTAAACACTGCAGTTTGTTAGAATAGAGCTGAGGATGGAGAGTTCAATAGTGCTTAAAGATGCATGTTATGAAAAATAGCTGGTATCTATTAATGTATAGACCGTAAGAAACATAATACTTATTAGCTTTTCTTCAGAATTAGTTTATTTTTGTCAGTAACAGTCCTAGATCTACTTACTGCTGGTACAGTTGTACTCTGATTCACTTTATTAGCAGCCAGCAAGAGAGGACAGCCTCAGGACAGGCCTCATAAATGAAGCAGTCTAGAAATATATGATGCGTGGTACAGGATGCTATAGCTTTGCGCATGAGTGAATAACCATTTATGTTTGCATTACTGTCTGCTTAACATGAATTTGCTTCCTAAAACTAGAAGTCTGTGTAATCCAACTTTAATTAGCTACAGAAACGGCTACCTTTAAATATCTTGGACAACAGATTGTTACAGTTTGTGAAATATGAGCTTTAATTTTTAAGCTTACTCATAAACCTAGGCCAAGGCAGCATACATTCCTCCAGTAGAAAACTTAATATAGCAAATGATAATAAATGCAGTAATACCTGTATAAATAGCTACTAACTAGACATTAGGTAATAGAGGCAGGCATAAAAACACAGCTGTGTTAGTAATAAAAGTGCTTCTCATCTTTTTGTTAAATGTAACTATTCTCCCCCCCCAATACATTCCATCATCCCAGTACAGTTACAAGTAGTGCTTTTTTTTTTTAATACTGGGTTACCTGAAGAGACTGGTTCAATATAGCAAGTTACGATTAGTTGGAAGATGAACTACATGTGATGTATTATGGACTGTTACAGTATTGGGTCCATTGTGGCTTTTATTTTAAATTGTTTTGATGTTAAGCTATTTTAATTTGAGAAAATATCAGAAGATTGGCTCTTACTCATGTTGAGAGGGTGGCTGCTCAATTTTTTTTAAAAACAAACACCACACAAACAAGCCCCCAGTTTCACACATTTCACTACCATCTTACTGGGTAGTCAACGCTTAGCTGCTTTGGCATTCAGTACCCTACTCTCTGTAGGAAAATTGTTAAAAGAACACTTTTTTATATAGGTAACTTTAAGACCATCGTTACGCTGTGCGTAAAGAATGTACAGAGAAATTTGTAGGTATTTTTTGAGGAACAATTAATTTGTTAATGATATGTAGCTATTTAATTTTTCCCTTTCCTTTATTGTAATCATTCATTTTTTGTTTGGAGAAAAAAGTTGATCTTTTTTTGTTGTAGATTTGTCTGTAATACATTAAAAAAGTGCAGGAACACAGTTATTCTATGAGAACACTGCATTAGCATTAATAGCCACTAGTTTGTTATTGCTACAGGCTACTGAGCATTATAACAGTAAAATACTAATACTGTAGATGGACTCTGTGGAAAATGTGACTCCTTCTACATTTCTTTGTAAACACACATGTTTTTAAAGCTAATATTTTCAGTAATAGCTGTTTTACAAGGTCACATTTACTTATCTGAGATAGGTAAATGGATGTGGGGCAATAAAGATTTAATGTGATATGTCCAGTAAAAACAAATATATTAAACACAATTATGTCATGAAAGCCAAAGGGTTGGGGGGGAAAGTAAACTCACCATAATAACGCATAGTGAAGTTTCTTCACAGAGCCATGTTATCTGCTACAGTTCAGTCTGAAAGATTCTCTCCGTGTTTGTAAATATACCATTCTTTTGTGGCCTTGTTTCACCTGGGGAAAAGAAAAAAAGGTTTGGCAGGCCATCTTTTTTTGTACTTAAAAAGTAGCCTTAAAGAACAATAAAGTGCTCTTAAATCACAGGTGTGTGCATACTCTTCTTTGTAATTTGGTTAAAAAGGAAGAATTGAAAATGACCATCTTACCTTTGCTAGGGTTGGAGTAAGGGAACAATGCATCAAACTGTGATCTTTCCCTGGTAGATGGAGTCAGATCTACTAGACCTCTGTCCTTCTTGCACCCCATTTTTCCATGCAGCATATATATCCTGCTGAGAACATAGCCAGTGACGAATAGCAGTTAGGGACACGTATATGGGACGATATTGATCATACAAAAGTTGTTTACCCACCACGTTTTGAGACATGCCGGCAGAGATGGCATTGGGTAGCTGTTGTTTTTTCCCTCCGGCAAGGGAAATTAGTTGCAGGCAGGTAACACTTTCCACAGTTATGGTGGCTGCAATGGACCATTGCGTGGCAGACTCCAAAAAAGGCTTGTTCCTGCAGCAGTATTTAAGAATGCCAACAGTTTTGTGAGCACATCACTAGGGACATGTGTGCATTGGGGGGGGGAGGAGGGGGCAGAAGCACTGCCACTATAACCCATAGACACCTCCTACAGCGATGAAAGGGGTTTCTCTGTCGCTGTAGGAACTCTGCCTCCCTGAGTGGTGGTGGTGGTAGGTAAGTCAACAGAAGCATTCTTCTATCTGTCTACACCAGGTGTTAGGTCACCATAGCTACAATGCTCGGGAGATGTGAATTTTTTACAGCCCTGAACAAGATAGCTACATTCTGAATGGAGGCTAGGCCTGCAACTAGGGAAACTATTGAAATATTTTTGGCACAATTCCCATTGATCAAGTCACCGAGATCTCAGCATATCATTTCCATAGGGGACTAGAAAGCAGCTGTTCATATTTAATGCAGCTTAACAAGTAGCAGCCATTGTTTTAGCAAGAGAGAATGGGCCAGTCACATATATATCTCTGCTATACAAGCAGCGAAGAGAAACTCACTTCTTTTTTCCACTTTGTCCCATCCGTCACATTCTTGGAGCTTATCTACACTGTAAAACTCTCCCCCTGCTGACCAGAAGTATAGAGAGGAGGATACTTGTGTTCAGTACAGTTTTAAAAAATGTGGTTAAAATCTGCTCTGATCTAAGGAGGGGATTTTAGTGGAAAATAATTTGACTGGAAGCTGATCCCCTAAAAATAAATGTGCTGGTACCTGATGTTCAATAACGTTCTTCAGAGACTGAGACAAATTTCAGCTCAGGCTGTAGTGGAAGTCTGTCTGCAAAAAAGATACTGCCCTAGAAGAACAAAACAGTACAGTTATTTCACTGAGAACATGTTGCCTTAGATGTTCAATAGGAGTGATGTTAAACAGTGTTGTAAATTGTGTTCAAAGCAGCTAAACTTCTGAAAAAATATGCCAGGAATTAAGTACGCAAACATGGTTGTTAAATATTTCTGGGTGTAGGAGACTATGAGAACACACCAAAATTAATTAGCTTAATACATTTGAAAAATATCCCTTTCTGTAACTACCCATGGAAAAAGAACGAGGAGTACTTGTGGCACCTTAGAGACTAACAAATTTATTTGGGCATAAGCTTTCGTGGGTTAAAACCCACTTCATCGGATGCATGCAATGGAAAATACAGTAGGAAGATATATATACACAGAGAATTTGGAAAAAATTGGTATTGCCATACCAACTATAATGAGACTAATCAATTAAGGTGGGCTATTATCAGCAGGGAAAAAAAAAAAACTTTTGTAGTGATAATCAGGATGGCCTCATTCTTTTTGCTGATACAGACTAACACAGCTACCACTCTGAAACCTGTACCCATGGAAAGAAGCCTAAATACACAAAGTAAGTGACCTTTGGAAGGGGAGCCAGCTACAATGGTCTGTTGTCTGAACAGCGCTTTAGATAGCACTGAAGGGGTGTAAAAATCCCGATGTGCACTAATTGGCCCATATGGACCTTGCTAGTGCACACCACACGTTCTCTAGTGTGTGTTAGTGTAGTACCATATCATACAGGTTTATAATAATGTGCATTAAGGAACCACAGCAGCAGTCAACAAAGAGTATGTCTAGACTTCAATCACAGGGTATGATTGCAGAACTAGCTTTAAGCAGTGCACGCTTCTGCCCAGGCCACCTGACTACCTACCTGAAATTTTAGGGGGGCTTGTACAGCTTCACTGCTCCAGGACCCAAGATAACTAGGTTAAGCTAGCTTGGATATATCTACTTGAGCTTCAGTCACAGTCTATGATTTCAATACAGACATACCTAAAGTCATATTATTTGATGGGGCAGTCATTGCCTATTCAAGAATGAACAAACAGAACCTGTACGCAACAATATATTTAGTAACTTTATGTTACTAAAACAACAAAAACCAATGAAACCATGACGTGTCTCCTTGCCTATTGCTTGTATCTCCTTTTGGTGATGACAGCATGGTTCTGAAGAGCATTTTTCTCTTTAATTTTACTGCTGCTTTTTTTGAATTGCATCTTCAAGTTGCTATTCTATAGACCCCAAGGAAACACAATATGAATCTGCATCTTCTTCTGCTAAATTAGTTTCATACCAGAATTTTAATATAAGACATCATGGATGACAAACATATAGGCTACCCATCAAATTCAGATTGTTCTGAATGTTTCACTGGCATCTAAGCTTTAAATATTTCTACCTCTTCAAGCTGCAAAAGCAACCTTTAAAAAGCTGACAACAGGATAGCAACAGATTGAAACAATAGCACCAGGACAGGTGTGAACTTCCCCCATCTTACTGAGTGAAACTTTTATACCTCCTTAGTTGTCAAACTTGTTAACAGTGTCACTGCTGAATGGTTATCACACCTATCCATCAAATTATGCTTTTCCAGTGGGGCAGCATGCATTTGGCAAGTCTCAATATTCCATATAAAGCTGTAGCCAAATACAGCAGCAGTAACTGAAGTAAATATCCAGTGCTTGTCTACACTGCCCCGCAGTTTGGACTATGGGTGTGTGAATAGCAGCACACATCTAAGTGGTGTGCTGTGACACCCTTGTGTGGATGCTGCAAGCACAAACAAAAAGGTTCCTAGTTCGCGTAACTTTAATCCTCTTCAAACAAGACTATAGTAACTAGGATCCTTTTAGTTTGCACCTGTAATATCTACATGGCAGAGTTATAGCACAGCACTTTGGTGTGCCCTGCTATTCACACCCTGTAGTCTGAATGTTGGGGCAGTTTAGACCCAGACCAAGTTCTGTTCTAGTTTGGATGCCAGCAACTTTTCCATTAGCAACTGTCCATGTCCTTACACGAGGGGATCAGATTTCACTAGAATTCCCTTTAGATTTCTTTTAACCCTGCTCCTAAATCACCCCTGTGATAGCAAAGTAGTGACTGTCATTTACAGATTATAGAAGGTTGACCATATTTTGAATTAAAATCCACAATGGCTGTGTGAATGGTGACTTCCCCCAATATCTAAATACCATGGCAATGCAGAAAGCTGCCTGTCTAGCACTTTCATGACAAGACATGTAAGAGGGACTTTAAATGGCCTGCGTAAGAGTTCTACTCACCAGGGCTGGCCCAGTCATTCTCAGCTGAGACGAATCTGCTTCTTATTATTTCTGGTTTCAAATCCCACCATTCCTCAACAAGGATCTAATCTGCATCTTCCAGCACTACAGGAAACTGCCACTCCAAAACTGAGGCCCCTGGTTTCAGTTAGGCCATCTCCTTTAGGGGAGAGAGAGAATACTGACTGTCCGCAGATCCAAATATATATTTAACTAACAGCATGTCATATGTACTTAAGGGTTTTTCTAAAGTAAACACTTAATCAAGGCCTCCCAATAGGACAAAGCCATGCTAGATATAACTAGTTATCTATACTGTTCATGCACACTCCAAGTCCCACATCAGAGAATGCACCTACAGTAACTCCTCACTTAACATTGTCCCGGTTAACGTTGTTTCGTTATGTCACTGATCAATTAGAGAACATGCTCGTTTAAAGTTGTGCAATGCTCCCTTATACCATTGTTTGGCAGCTGCCTGCTTTGTTCACTGCTTGCAGGAAGAGCAGCCCCTTGGAGCTAGCTGGTGGGGTCTTGGAACCAGGGTGTACTGGCAGCCCCTGTATCAGCTCCCCTAAGTTCCCTGTGCCCCATCTCCACATAGCAGGGGGGACACACGAGACAGGGCTCAGGACAGAGGGAGCTTGCTGGCAGCAGCTGTTAACTTCCTGATCTTCTTAAAAAGGCAATATACTAAGAGTGGGGTCAGTGTAATTACAGGGGCAATGCGTGTGTGTCTCACACACACATATGCACCACACCCCACGACTTTAGAAAGTGGAGGGAATGGTGCGCTCCAGTGGGATAGCGTGGGTTCAGCATCATGTTCCATTTCCTCAGGGAATTTTGCAGCCACTGCCATGCGTCTATTGTGTCTCCTCCCCTCATTCTGCAACGTGTGAGGCTACGTGTTAACCCTTGAGGGCTCAGCCAACTGCTAGTTCATCATTTAGCAGCCAGGCATTCCCTGAGAAATGGCCCATGCTCTGACTCCACCACCTCAACCAAGCTTCACAATCATTGCCGTGTACAGTATTAAATTGTTTGTTTAAAACTTATAGTGTGTGTATATACATAATATCTTTTGTCTGTTGAAAAAAATTTCCCTGGAACCTAATCCTCCTTTTTACCATTAATGCTTATGGGGAAATTGGATTTGCTTAATATTGTTTCAGGAACATAACTACAATGTTAGGCAAGGAATTACTATATTTTAACAAGGTCAAAGTAATAGGAGTTGTAACTATCCCTTACTGGAAGTTCAAATGGGTTCTCTCCTTTAAATGTGTTTTCCTGCATCTAAAAGGAGCAACAGTCTTTAGTTGTGGGTTTCATTTTTTGTCATGTATGGATCGCTAACTAATAGCTCTCTTGTCATTCAGTCCTAGAATGCTCCCTTCTGGTTCCATTGGGCTCTTTCCCATGACACATGCACAAGGGGGCCTGTGTATCCAGGGGGAGGAGAGCAAGTACTAGTCACCATGTTTCAGGGATATATGCTCTCCTTGTGCAGGAAAGGGGAGAAGTTTATAGCCATGTGGGGGGCATAGCAAGTGCTGCCTTCAGGCCTCAAAGAGTCAATGGAATCCATAGGTACGTATGGATCCACTGTTCCAGATCTCAGGGCCATTTGGTGCGCACACAACTACTCTGTGAACCTCTTTTGCTACCAGCACATCTCACTCACTGCCATTAACACCCAAGGCTGCAATGTAGATGTACCCTAGGTCTCTCCCTCTCCTTGTTATTAACTCATTTAGTATACACCATTGAATGTCATCTTTGTTTCTGAGTCAACGGCCATTTTTTCCAGTTTCAGGACAGGTTAACTGACTATAACAGAGGCATTCTCAGTGTCTTTTCCTAGATTAGGTTTGATTTTTCTGGTTACAAGTTTTACAAGTATATTGATTTGCATTTAATAAGTTTTCTTGCCCCATTCCACTGACTACATTTGACCATCACGTTTGCAAAATTAATATACTTTGAGCGCAGTGCTTATTAACACAAAGGCCTCTTTACACTGCCCTTCCAGAGAAAAGGGATCGAGACATGGTTGCAAGTCACACTGTCTAGGTGTTGTAAAGGGACCTTGGTGTAAATGAGAATCAGGGTTCCCTCTCTTCCCAGTTCCATGAAGGAAGCTCTCCTGTTACCATGTGCAGGGCAATGGCCCCCTTTCCCAGATCTGCTCACAATTACTTAGTTTTACCTACAGACTCGCAGCATAACTTCCAGAATAGAAAATATTAATGTAACCATTTTTTAAAAAAAATATCAGACATGGTTCTTACTGGGCAGGCACAGAAATGCAGGGCTGAGAGGGACCTCAAGAGGTCATCTAGTCCATCCTCCACACGAAGGCAGGATTAAGTAAACCTAGACCTCCCTGACAGGTGTCTGTCTAATCTGATGGGGATTCTACAACATCCCTAGGTAACCTGTTCCAGTGCTTAACTATCCTTACAGTTAAAAAGTTTTTTCTAATATCCAACCTAAACCTCCCTTGCTGCAAACTATGCTGATTACTTCTTTTCCTACCCTGGGTGGACATGGAAAACAGCTGATCATCTTCCTCTTTACAACAGTCCTTCACATATTTGAAGGCTGTTATGTCTTCCCTCAACCATCTCTTCTCTAGACTAAATATACTCTATTCTTTCTACCTTTCCTCACAGGTCTTTCTAAACCTTTTATCATTTTTGTTGCTCTCCTCTGGACTCCAATTTATCCATATTTTTCTTGAGGTCTGGTGCCCAGAGTTGGACACAGTGCTTCCTTCAGCTGATGCCTCACCAGCATCAAGGAGAGTGGGACAATTACATATGACACTTCTGTTAATACATCCCAGAATGACACTTGTTTTTTCCTCAACAGCAGCAAACTGTTGACTCACATTCAATTTGTAATGCACTATAACCACTAGATCCTTTTCTGTAGTACCGCTGCCTCGCCAATTCTTCCTCATGGCTCCATCCATGAAGGGGAATGAATGCTGCAGTCAGACTACCATTAATAGGCCTTTATAGATTTCATCCTTAAAATGGGGCAGGCTTAGAGGGAAGCATGCCCTATGAACAATCCCCTTTTCCCAAAAAATACACGGAGCTGCAATATACACAGACTTTTTCATCTTAAACCCTTTGCCCCGTAGAGGGGTGTATAGGGATTGTTGCATTTGGTTTTAAGATTATTCCTCATATGTCCCACTCCCAGTGCAGGACTCAGAGGAGTACAAAACATTATATTGAAAATAGCCTACAAAAGTATCCCCAGGAGTCATTAAATATGAAATTTTCACATTCCTCTTCGTGGTAGAATTAGGAGACCAATTTATCATACAACATTACTTTAATATATGGTCTTTCATAGTTTGCTAATTACTGTATCACTTCAGAGGAGTATTTATAACCAACTAACATGTGTCTCTGTTAGCCACAGCTGGCGTGGGATTAATCATAAATGAACATTGTGATTTTCATGAATTTATGGCTCAACAGAGGTGGAGAAACAAAAGTAGTCTACTGAAAGAGAAATTCTAAGTTATGACAAAGCAGTTACTCAGTTCCAGTAAGAACACACTTCATAAGATTGACATAAAACCATTTCAGCCTTTCTTGCTTATAGGATGACTAGTTAGGCTGTTCACTATTGGATTATTCACTCTGGTTTTACATTTTATTTTGTTATGAAGCAGCTTTCATAAATGCCAAGCAAGACATCTGTCTTCTCTCTAACACAAAGACAGATACAAAGGCATCTGTCAACATGAAGTTGAGTAAGCCACACATCTGCTGTATTCAGTAGTTGAAAATCTGCTTATCTTGAAAACTGTTTACTCACTTTTGGCAAATATGATGCAAGCAGCATACTTCTGATTGTGTGTGTTGCAACTCATGATTAGAGCCAACACTGCCTTTTCATGTTCAACAATGAGAGGACAAACCTTCAACATCTTGAACTACTGAAGTAATTTATTTGTTATCCATATGTATAGCTATGACATTTAATATAAGTTGTATAAACAATATACAACTCAACTGCCATCCTATTTCTTGAAAACTAAGTGGTGCAATTACAGTTTCCTGAGAACTACATTTTACAGTTAATAAGAAAACTTTCCATAGCTGGGGAAAAAAAATCTCTTCTGTGCTGAACCAGTATACACTCCTATATGCTTGTCTATAATTTAATTAATCAAGTACATCCTGAAATTAATGTCACGATGATCAAAATTTACTTTCTAAGTGACATTTTCCTCAAGGCTCTGATTGAGGTTGGACTGCTAGAAGTTCCAGATCATTCATTTCTTCAGAAATACTGCATTCATTAACCTATGGCACCAAATGGAAGGGGAACACTGTTACAGATTTGACACTATTGCAAAAAATTTATTTTATTTATAAGAGCTTTTGGAAGCTGAACTCCATGAATTTAACCTGACGGTTTTATGCATCATGCATATTCCCAGGTTTGTTACTGTAGGGTTGCTTATGGATACTGCCATGTATTTCATTTTATTTTTTAAAATACAGATATGAGCATTGAAGCATTTGTTGTGAAAATAAAACACACAAAAAGAATTAAAAAAAGAAATCTAAGAAAAGCTTAAATTTGAGGCCTTCTCACCTCAGCTGTGCCTTCTAACTTGAAAGACGTCAGAATGACAGCCAGCCTTCTTCCCTCAACAGAACATTTCCCTGATCTGCCAACTTGCCCTAACCCTCTCGTGGAGGGATCCCATCTAGGAGTAAAAGGTTAGTTTTGTTTCCATGCCCCCTTAATTCTTTCCTGCTCTGCTGAGATGCCCAGAAGATGCCAATTAGACTCAATTGTGATGATTTTATGATTTGGACGGAGAAATGGGCCAGCTAGCGACTTAAGTTCTGTGTACTTACAGCTGCAGACATCATCTGGAAGGTGTAATTTCCAACTCGGTAGATGTACACAGACTAGTTCTGCTTGAGCTAGCACACTAAAAATAGCAGTGTGGCTGCAGAAGCATGGGCAGTGATGTGGGTTAGCCACCCAGGTTGGTACCTAGGATCTCAGACAGGATTGTACTTGGGTAGCTAGCTCACCACACTCACACAGCTATTTTTAGCACACTGGCTCAAGTAGCATCTACCTGAGTGGGAATCACATCTTCCAGCAGCTGGGTAGACATACCATGCATTGCAATCAGGAGGTATCATTCGAACACATGCAGACATACCCAAGCTAGCTAGTCCTGCCTGCCCAAGACCTTGGGTACAAAAACTTTCTGATGACTGTGCACGCCTAATTGGAATGGACATGAGCAACATATCTCGAAGAACAACAGTTACAAGAGGTGAATAACTGTCTTTTTTTAAAGGTACAAGATTGAGAACTCAAAGTCAAAGTCCTCAAGCTACAGACTAGGTGTACTAATGTGTGTACGCACTGGTCCCTCAGACTCAGGTTTGGAGGGAGGCCACTCTGTGCTGCTGTGTCTGGCAAACAAGCAGTCTATGGCTCTGGCCCTTAGGTAGGGCAGAACACCCAACAGTCCAAAGGCTCAGGCCCTCAGGTAGGGTGGAGCACCAGACTGTCGCCTGTTGTCCTAGGTCAGGCAGACAAATGCAGGCCTCCTGGCCTAAGGTGGGGAGGCTGCCACCCCAGGGGAGGTTGACAGCGGGGGTAGAGGAAATGGGCCCACCCTACTCCACCAGGTCCCAGTCAGGTTACTGGGGGCAGGGGAGGCATCAAGTCATCACCCATGCCAGCCCCTTCTCATCCAGGGCCACCTCCTACCTTCACTGGGGAGGCTGCAACTCCCAGTCATGACTCTGCACCCTGTTAGCTGATGTCTGAACCCTACCAATTTTCAGAGGAAGTGTGATAAATGCCTGAGGGAATGCTTAAGGTCAGAGTCAATAGTGGGCCCGCCCACACCCACTAAACACATCCTTAAGGAAAGAGAAGTGTGACAAGGTCAGGCCAGATGGCTACAGGAGAGTAATAGAAAGCAGATATATTAGCCCCAGCTTAAGTAGGTCCCTTTTCCCTGGGTAAGGTAACAGGGAAGGTTCCAGAACAATCAGGAACCTTCTGGAGACAATTAAGACAGACAGGCTGATTAGAACACCTGCAGCCAATCAAGAAGCTGCTAGAATCAATTAAGGCAGGCTAATCAGGGCACCTGAGTTTAAAAAGGAGCTCACTTCAGTTTGTGGTGTGCGTGTAAGGAGCGGAGAGCAAGAGGCACTCAGAGCTGAGAGTGAGAACTGAGAAAAATCAGTTTCATCCCCATATCATCAATACAATTGAACCTGCCTCACACCAAATCAATTCAACCTTCTTTCACCCTCAGTATCCCCTTAACAGGCAGAGGAGCAGTCAAAAGGAGTTTGCAACAGAGCTTTCCTCCTCTTCATCCCCTACACAGGCTTGGTGGTGGGCCAGCCAAGGAGATGGGAGAGCATCTCCACACAGCCCTCAAGGGTAGTGGTCAGCGCTGGCAGGATCTTCATCTTGCAATGGAAATGCAACAATTCCTTTATCCCCCTCAGGTCTAATACATGTGGTTATTGCACTGGCCAGTGATAACGAGAGCAGAAACTGACCCATCATTAATAAGGAGTTTATAAAGAGCTGTACTAACCACTACACTGATCATTAACCAACGCCAATTCAGGAGTTCTTGTATTACAAACTATGTCCAAAAAATACAACTTTAAAAGATTTTCCTGACCTGCTTTGCAAACAAACTGCCTGTAAACCAGTTCCTATCAAAACTTGCCATAGTTTTCATGTACAGTATTTCACTAGTTCTTTGAACTGACTTTCTGAATAAAAAATAAGTTTCACCTTTGAACTATTAATAGTTTAGCAGTCTATAGTCAGAATGCCAATTTCCAGAACTCAACAGAAATAAAATGATCAATTAATCCAATCTGATTAGCTGTGTGGTATAGAAAGGAAATAATGCATAATTACTGCCAAATATGTGATCCTGCTACTAGAAAATCCCACCACTTACTTTAGCCCTGCTTCAGCACTTCTTTGCACTGTTATACCGCCACTCACAAACTGATTTCCTGTCTTTACACTATTGGGGAAAAAGCAATAGCACTTTTTCTGTATTACTTGCACTCGCCTCAGTCTAGTCTTTTTTTTGCATAGTAGGAAGGGGTGGAAAATAGATCAATATCCAGGCAAGACATTCAAACAGCTGAGCAGTCTAACCTCCTACCTATGTATATTGGTGACAAATTATTTGCATAAATGTCAGAAGGTAATGTAGTAGCTTCTGTGAATATTAAAAACATCATCATCTACATGCACGTACTGTCTCATAGTAACTATATAATTAACCTGTGCCATCATTGTACTTGTAATTTGCGATGTATCAGTGATCAGTTTGCAAATACATTTGCACACAATTGGAAGTATATCCTGCAGTACCGTCAATCCAGAACATTCTGAAGTCATGAGTTAGGCCCCAAAATCATGAGACCAGCTTTAAAATTCTGAGATTTAAAAAAACATTAAATCTGGGATTGTTTTTGTTTTGACTTCTGTTTCCAAACTTTTCTCCAAAACCACAGGGCCAGATATGTACTTTTTAGAAGACAAAACCTGAGATTCTCACAAGACAACATGATTCCAGGAGCTGGGGCTTTTAGAAAAGGACCAAATATCATAAGATTGGTAGTAAAACTGTGAAAGTTGGCAAAACTGTGATCTATCCAACTAGTCAAGCACACAGATTGATAAATGGGTAGCAGTTCAGTCCTGGGAAAACCAATAAACTGCGCTTGCATTTTGGGATTTGAAAATGTAAATATGGAATTTGATTAAGATACAAGTGAAATCTAAAGCAATTCAGGGCCATCAAAAGCACTCAGATACAGGGAGGAGGTTGGGTCAGGAATTCAAAGTAGGGGGACAAGGTAATTTTAGATAAGGTTAAAGGGGCTCACAACTGTATTTCATCTGTCTTAATTTCCTTGGCTTCTGAGGAAAATATAGCATGTATAAAATAATAGTTTATGCATCAGTTAGGAGGAAAAACATAACAGTATTTGAACGACAGCTGCAAATTAAGTCAGAGATCTATCACCTACTTCATATACATTGAGACCTTCTTCCAGGTTGTGAATTACTAAAGATATATGGCCAGAGTGGGAATTAAATGCTGGTCCATCAGGTCCCACACCAAAGTTAGGAAATGCACAATGCAAGACAAAGCTGCCTAGCCTTTGAAGTGAGTAAGTGTCCTCTTTAAAACCTTCTCACTAGGCTGCAAGCTCACAACCTCAAGCTCCAAAGCAGCCAGGTCCTGGGAACAAAGGGTTCTGGTACTGCAGGAATATCCTCTGTGTGAGGATCCGTCAGGACCAAGATGCAGAAGGTCTAATTCCTCTCTAGATACAAATAATCAGTGTTTCCCTCCTGGTCTAAAGTGTTTGATGTGAGGGGTGAGAAGTGTGCAGTGGTGCTCTGCTGCTGCAAGGGAGAGGCAGAAGCAGAGAGCTGGCTGACCTGGGAGATCCAGGACTGGTGGGCTGGGCAGAGCACAGAGACTGCTCCAACTGGGCTTCAGAGATCTTTAAAATTCCCAGGGCTTGAGCAACTTGCGGGGGGAACTCAGATGAGGAAGTCAGGACTAGGCCCGAAAATAGCTTGGCATAGCGGGGGTGTGAATGTGCTGACACCTGCCAGCAACCATGCAATGAGGGTGGAGGGGAAGGAAAGAATCATGTCAGTGGAAAAAAAGTCTCTAGAGAAAAAGTATGAAAAGAAAATAAACGGGTCCCAAACTGCCCAAAACCTCTGGCAACACTTCTGGTGGGGAATCCCCAAAATTAGGGCTTACCTGGTCCACTGTCCCTGATCTCTGGGGCAAAGATTGAAGATAATGATTCTCATGACTGATGTCCTTCTTGACCCTCTCCAGATGTTCTTTTTCCTGGCTCTTTCTTCTCTGTGTCATGTTTTTTCTTTTTTCCTTTCCACTCTGCCCCTTCGTTATGTCTCCTGTCTTTCTGCTAGAAGAGGGAAGAAAGACCAAAGATTAGTGGGGATCCAATTATGGTGGAGGCTGTGAGGCAGATTATACTGTTGGTCAGAAAGGCTTTATTAGGAGTTTTGTCTTTTAGGGTGTATAACTCTGGGAAAGAAGTAGCTGATTAGGGTAAATTGTATACACTGAACCTAAGGCAAAAAGGGCCTTGTTTCCAGAAGTGCTTGGCACTTCGGTGATATGGCTCTTCCACCAGAAATAATCTCAGTGGGTACATTGAAGACGCATGCCTCCTGCTGGTAGTGAAGGATTTCAGTCTGGATAGCTCTTGTGCGTACATTGAGAGAAGAGGCAGTTACTTGCCTGTAACTGGAGCTTCTTCAAGATGTGTAGTCCCTATCTATATTCCACTGAGGGTGGATGCACATAACCCTCAGTAGAACACAACAGTGACCTATCATAAACATACAGCTAAAGGTAGCATAAAATCCCTCCTTTACCTGTAAAGGGTTAAGAAGCTCAGATAATCTGGTTGGCACCTGACCAAAAGGACCAATAAGGGGAGAAGATACTTTCAAATCTGTGGGGGAAGGTTTTTGTTTTGGGTTGTTGTTCTCTTGGGAGACAGAGAGAGACCAAGCAAGTAATCCAGCTCCTACTGAATGATACATCTAAAATTACGGAAATAGTAAGTAATAGCAAGGAAATGCGTTACAGTATCTTTTGTTTTAGCTTGTGAATTTTCCCTGTGCTAAGAGGGAAGTTTATCCCTGTTTTTGTAACTCTGAAGTTTTGCCTAGAGGGGAATCCTCTGTGTTTTGAATCTTATTACCCTGTAAAATTACCTTCCATCCTGATTTTACAGAAGTGCTTCTTTTACTTTTTTTTCTTTATAATAAAGTTCTGGTGGGGTTTTTTTGTTTTTGTTTTTTTTTAAAGAATCTGATTGGTTTTTAGTGTCCTAAAAACCCAAGGGGTTGGTCTGTGCTCACCTTGTTTACCTATCTAGTTGGTAGATTATTCTTAAGCCACCCCAGGAAAGGGAGTGAAGGAGCTTGGGGGGATATTTTGGGGAAACAGGAACTCCAAGTGGTCCTTTTCCTGAATCTTTGTCTAACTCACTTGGTGGTGGCAGCAGCACTCATCCAAGGACAAGGAAGAATTTGTGCCTTAGGGAAGTTTTTAACCTAAGCTCGTAGAAATAAGCTTACGGGGTCTTTCATGCGGGTCTCCACATCTCTACCCCAGAGTTCAGAGTGGGGAGGGAACCCTGACAGGACCATCACTCAAAGAAGTTGTTCCCTTACTGCTTTGGCAAATAAGTGGCCATTTTGTTTTCAGGCATATTTTTATGAAGATCAATTTCTTCCACATTTCTTTTTTTCACGAGGTTAACTGGGGGACATTTAGCCATCAGCTATGCTATAAAATCTGATAAAATCTGAAGAATTCCAACATATTACAGCTGATCACACCTTATTTACATCTCTGTAGTTATCTAACAATCTATCTAACAATCTAAACAATTATCTAACGATCATTCAACATATCATTACTCAAGGACTATTATTCTCTCTCTCATATAGATACGATGTAGAATGATATAGTTATATAAAAAAAAACTCCGACTGACTGAGAAAAGGTTAAATGAGGATGATGAATGTGAATTTCCAAATGTAAGCACTAGATCCTTGTATGCTGTGTTAGGTGATAGACTGTTTATAGTTACCACAAGCCAAATGTATCTTTCAGGAATTTACGAAGTTGCTCATTTAGATTTTAAGTATATAAAAAGAATTGATGTTTTGACTTGCAGCAGAGGAGAGACATATTTGATGCAGGTGTTTTGGAAGCATGTTTATGTTTGGTGAGAGGAAGTACTGGCCTCTGGATCAACCACAAAGAAGGGGAACACCAAAATATGTTGAAAACACCAGTTTTCATCTGTTCTTGCTACTTAGTCCTTCTGCTTTGTCACTGTCAAAGTCAACATGCCAGCTTTCTCCTGCTGAGACCCCCAGCTCTTTCACTTGAAGGGACAAGAACCCTAAAGAGAAGCCCCATGCCAAGATTTTCTCCAAGTCCATTTTGAATTACTTGATGGTGAAAATTCATAGCTTGGTTATAGATACTGAAGTTGAAACCCTGGCTAATGCGGCCAGGATTTCACTCTGAGAATCAAACCTTTGACTCGGGTTCAGTTGTCTTCTCTTTGTCAGATTTACAGTAGACCAGATCAATCTCTGTGAGCAGACAACATCTAACTATGTTTGTGCAAACTGTGCTAACAGCAGGCAGGCTCACAAGGTTGTTGCTTCCGAGGTTCTAACACTTTCCCTGATCTATGTAGATAGGGTTTCTTTGGCTGTTCATTTTTCCTGGGCACAGTGTTTCAAAACTGTAACACAGACCAAAATAGCTAGAAAGGGTATTTCTTTGTTTGAAAAGCACCGTTTTCCAGCAAACTTCCACACATTCCCCCCCGCCCAATGTTCAAACAACATAGGCCAAATTCATCCTTGGCTTAAGTCCACTGAAGTCAGTGGAGATGGATCAATTTGGCCAGTGGTCCAAATTCACTGGTGGCTTTAAATGCAAAGCAAGTTACATATGAGATATCAGTGGGTCAAAAATATATATAAGTATTGAATTGGTGTAACTTGCACCAATTTGGCATTCACTCGCTATGGAAAATGAGTGTAAGGTGTATGCAGAGGTGGCAAAAGAAACAGAAGTCAGAGTAGGAATAACGTGTGGCATGTGAAAGAGAGATTGATGTTATAAGTTCCTGTTAGTTATCTTTCCCACTGCACTCTTTCTGCCCCCTTGCCATGGAAAATACATTAGTTCTTCACGTGAATGCCAAATTGGAGCAAGTTACATTTACATTTACACCCTCAATTAATTTATCCGAAAGACTTTAATGGGAGTTGAAGCAACTTACCCTCGAGATGAGTTTGGCCCAATCATTTAAGAGGTTCAACATACTCAGCGATTTTAAAGATGACGATGGTAGGAAATATAACCTGGATGAGCAACATGACAGTCTACATTGTGGCACTTTTACACACTCAGGGCTAGTAAAAATTCTATTACAGCTCCTCACTTTTTCAGTTGATTAGTTACTTGTAGCTCCCTGACCACTCCAGAAAGAGCATCATCCAGAGAATAGAACACCTCAAGCAATACAAACGGCAATACAAACCAGGAATCAATATTAAAAGTTAACAGTAGATTCATTTATTCAATCTTCTTTTAAACATAGACTGCAATTTTTAAAATACATACTAAATGGTAAGACTGTCTTCAAATCTGAGATCATGCTCCTCTTTGAGCCATAAAATTATGGTGACCTGATAGCAAAGGTGAAAAATCAAGACGGGGGGTGGGGGCGAGTAACTGGCACCTATATAAGACAAAGCCCCAAATATCAGGACAGTCCCTATAAAATCAGAACATCTGGTCACCCTACATAAAATAGAAGGCCAAGGATTTTCAAAAGTGGCTAGTGATTTTAGGTGCCCAACTTGAGACACCTTTTAAGAAGGCTGGTTTTCATTAGGTGAGTGCTCAGCAGCACTTTCTGAAAATCAAGATCCTGTAAGGTGTCTCAAGTTGGGAATTCACAGATTGAGACGGCTAATATCATTAGTCACTTTGGAAAATCTTGGCCAAAATAAGTGAATTAAAAGGCATTAATAGACTTGTGTTAGAGATGAGATATTTATACTATTATTATTTATATTACAGTAATGTCTAGATGTCCCAACCAAGATTGGGGGACCATTGTGCTAGGCACTCTATAAAAATCATAGTGAGAGACAGTATCTTCCCCAAAGAACTTACAAGTTAAAAACCCAAGACAGAAAAAGAAAGGATGGGGAAACAGTGATGTGAAGTGACTTGCCCTGCAGGTCAGTGGCAGCATCAGGAACAGGAGGCAGAGTCTCTTACTCACAGTTCAGTGTCTTATCCATTGGGCCATGCTGGCTCCCCAACTCTGTAATAACTTTTGGAGATGATAAAGTTACCTTGGATACAAATATATCTTTAGAAGTCACAGAAATGAACAATTCATATTATCTCAAAACTGTTAATACCAGTGTACAATAGCTTGATTGAGAAATTTTCTGAAGTCACAATCATTCAGGAGATCAGAAACACTGAACAACAATATAATGACTAAATCTTATTAGGTCATGGTTAAAAACAATGCTCAACACTGTTTGTCATAGTGGGAAGACTAATTGCCTCCTACATGCAAGATACAGATGACATTTACATCACATTCATTTTCAGCATCTCAAGTTAATATATATTTCCATCTCCATTTCCAAGTCATTTTTAGGCATCCAGGTGCTTGACACTAGTCCCCATCAGATTCTATGCATGATTTACAGCTGCTACCATTCTATGAGGCAGCTGACTAAAGTAACAGATACTCTCACTTGTCGGTAACAGTGCTAGAACATCAACAGCAACACAGGCAAACTCTATTTGTACACAACATAATTTTATCACGTGAGCATAATTTGACTTGTTCTCCTTCTCATCCCTACAAACAAGAACAAGCAATTTCCAAGAAGCCTATTTTAAGTCTGTCAAGCTGGATCTGAGCTGGTTGATGCAATTGCATTACCACTCAATGCAGTACAGTGCTTAAGAAACTAGAGTACTTTACTGCTAGGATTTGTGAAAGCACTAGTTATGCATGGTGTACATCATAATACGTCAGCAAGAATATTTTGACTGGATTCCATATACTGGTTGCCTGGTAGATTTAATACTGCAAAATTGACATTCATTCATTCATTCCACAAACTGACATGCTACTGTACATAAAATCACAAATGCTGAGACTCAGAAGCCCAACATGCAAGAGCAACCTCTGCTCACATTAATACACAATAAAACCTCCTTGTCCTTGTCAAGGCACATCTTCCTTTCCAGTGAACTTTCTAGGGTGCTTATCCAAGGGTGGAATGAGAAGATATTTCCAGTGAGCACTACCCTGCAATAAATGCCTGGGAAGAAGATAGGTTATGCTCATGTACAAATTAAGGAAATGTCTGATTAGAGTTTAACCTGGCTGTATCATAGCAACCTAAACTACCCAACTCTTATTTGGAACAGAAAATATGTAGCACTATTTCATATCTGTGTGACCAAACTATAATCAGATTACTACATTTATCTAGCACCTATCATCTCAAAGGATACTAAAGCACAGTACAAATGACAATATACTACTATTGCTTCAACAATCACTGAAAAACAGTCATCTTTGGAGTGGAATGCAGCAGATTTAATTAAGATTGTTAAGATATTTTTCTGTTAACAACACAGCAACCCTACATGATAGTCTGACAGACAGCAAAGAACACCAGGGAAACTGCAGCAGCAATTCGGGTAGACAATGAAATTGCCCAAAATGAACCTGGCTAGGACACCAGGATTGACAAATCCCCCTTACGTTACAGAAGGTGTTAGGGGATCTTTTTAGGTCCTCTGTTTTGTTTCTCATCTGAAAGATAACTGCTGTGACAGCACAGTTCTTCCTAACACTGTGCCAGGGTTTGGTAAGGTACTGAGTAAGCTACTGAGTAAGGTACTTTGGTAAGGTACTCACTCAGAAGAAAGATCACCACCTAGGAGCACCTGGGCTTTCTTTGGAGGTCACCTATTAAGCTCTAACCAGGCTAGCCCTTCCTAGTTGGTGAGAACTGACATAATCAGAGGACAGTCAGAGGATATAGCTACAGACTCTGCCTTACTAAAGTCCATCTATTCCTGGAATAGCATTTTTTGCTGCTGTTTAAACAAAGAAACACTGCTTCATTACTCTACAACAAAAATCACTGCATGTTACTCCAGTGCAACATGCTCTTTCCTGAAAGCAGTGAATAAAATGACCTGGACAAGCAATCTAACTCTTCACAATGAGCAAATTGCCCTTGATAGTCTGATGGCCATTCTGCAGTGGTATCACAGGGTATTTTGCCTAGGAAGTGCAGATTTGGCCTTGAGCTCAGAAGAATGCAGCAGACAGGAATCCCACGGGAGAACAGCTCATTTCCTCGGTGCACCTGTGACTCCCAACAAAGAAGTAGGACGTATTTTGGGTCTATCTATGTCAATGGTGTATTAAAAGGCAGTTCTAACTGAAAAGTGTTGCTTTCAGGAAAAATACAATTGGGATCTAACTCTTACCCTTCAGTAGTTTGAGGCTACATGCTCATTGGGAGCAGGGGGTAGAAATATTTACAAATATTTGAATGAGAAGCTAAAGTATGGGACATAAAAAGTGAAAGCCTCTACCTACTGGATGACACTTCTCCTCCAGAGAGACCTATTGCCTGTTTTCCATGGTAAAAATAAGTTGTTTCAGAAGAAACAATTGTTTTTCTTTTCATTGTTTGTTAGAATAATAATGGAAAAAAATTATGCTCACACTCTCAGCTGTTTCCTCCATTGCACATTGATAGTATATTAGGAATACTGTGTAACAACAATATCTTGTATGTTACAATT